AGCAATGACAATAGCGTTTTTTTTTTTTTGTTTTTTTACGAGAACACACACACGCAGATTGAAAGATGAAACGTTGGTTTGTCAGTTTTGGCTGGTTTGTTTTTTCTTTTCTATTTTTTAATAGATGTTTTTTGTCTTTGGCAGGGCCCGCTGGTTTGGGGGGGGGGGGGGGGGGGGGGGGGGGGGGGGGGGGAGACGCCCAATGGAAATATTTTACGGCCTTTTTCCTTCGTGTCTCAAACATGAAGCTTGGCAAAATGACGCTGGTTTTAGACTACTCACCCCAGCGTATTAATCGCGATATTCCCGCGTTTCATCGAGAACTACTAATGACATGGCGCAGGCACAAGGAATGCCACACCCGTAACCAGATCCCTGAGTCTGTCACAGATGTCCTAAATGAGCCACTATTCCTTAATGATTTGATTACTTCTCAGGAAAAGCCTCTTCTATTCTATACATGGATTGGATTGTAGCAGGTATCACACGTGGTAAGGAACATGTGTTACGAAGCAGTCCCCGGGTTTTTACCGGCTAATGCCCTTCACGAGATATTAACTGATAGTAAGCCTCACACCTTATCGACAACAATACGGGAGTATCGGGACCTCCTGGCCGCGATCCTCAGGCAGTGGCTTCACCTAATACCGTATTTATTCGATTAACCGCCCTGGGCTCTTATTAAATTTTTGGACCTTTAGTGTGGGCGTTTATTCGAGGCTGGGCGCTTATTAAATTTTCACCATTTTCAGCAAGTGAAGTATGTTTATTTTGCAATATACTAATAACAAAATGCGAAGAAGAAACAAAGCAAGGTTTCTGTAAAATACTCTGAAAAAAACTCCGTCCTCGGGGAAGTCTCTTATTAGAATATATTCATTCAAGTGGGCGTGGTAGGGGTGAGCGCTTATTTGAGTTTGATTAGGAGGAGGAGGGGGTGGGCGCTTATTCGAGGCTGGGCGCTCATTAACTTTTTCTGCCTTTAAGATGGGCGCTTATTCGAGGTGGGCGCTAATTCGAGGTTGGGCGCTTGTTCGAATAAATACGGTAAATTCAAACAACCCACAACAGCTACCCACACTGCAGCCTTGTTTCGTAATTAACACCTCAAGTCCCGGAAGCACTTCACCTGACCTGCTAGCGTGCAAGACACGTACCTTCTATCATCACCTTCGTCAGTTGCAGAAGCCAACGATACCTGCGATAGGTAAGTGGGAAGAAATACTACAACCCGAGCCCGATTTCAATACGAAGCAATGGAAGACGTTTTACTCGCCCTTAATTTCTAATAAATAAGGCGATATTAATTGGAAGGTTGCACATCGGGTGCTACCAACAGCCCTCTCGTTGAACAGAATGAATGTCTACAACTCGACTCTCTGTCATCGTTGTGAAGTTACGGACAAAATAGAGCATGCTCTAATTGACTGCTCTACCATTGATGCATTCTGAACTAAAGTTCAACCCTTAATTGACCAGATTGCAGATAGCAACCTAACTTGAACTGTCGGACTTAAAGTATTGGCCAAAGTCCCGCAAACTAGCGACTTATTTAGAAAAAAGCATACTGACTTAATAAACTGGATCTTAACCATGCGTAGAAGCGGAATTCAAAAATCAGCTGTTTGGCATAAGGTCCATGATCAGACCTTACCACCCGAGGCCGTCTTTGGCTCGATTGTCAAGTCACATCTGTGTTATCAGTTCAAGCTGTGTGTTCAACACTGGACTCAATTTTACTTTTTTTTGACTGGTGCCAAGCTCTCGCCAAAGTTGAAAATAATCAACTAGCGTTCACAATCTAACTGTAAAACAAGATTTAAATTAGATTTTCATCGTCATGAAAATATGCATGTGAAACACCAAGTAGATATAAACGTTACTGATTATTGTTAGTTGTAAATAAACAGCTCTACGGAGCCTTTTTAGAATAAAAAAACCGGTACCCATCCGAACACCCGAAGTAAACTCCTGTCGGGCGGAGCTAGTACCTTGGCGGGGGACCACCTGGGAATAGCCCGTGTTGTAGACATCTCCTTTTGCTCTTCTCGCCAACTATTTTCCTTCTGTCCGCTCGCGAGCTTTACGTGATTTTTTTTCTCTTTTCTCGTTAGTTTTTTCTTTAAACTATCGTAAAAGACTAGCCAAAGAGACTGCCAATAACTCTAAAAAAAACCCCTACAATGAAGATTGCCACACTCCCTAGTGTAGTTTCCTCTTTTCCACAAGGTCCATCCTTAGCATGGTATTGAAACTGTGATTTAGATTAGCAACACGATGATCTTTTTATGGAGTACAACATTTCACTGCAGTTAGGTTGTCAAACTATTTCCACTGGCTGCCCACGTCAGGGTTGGCCACTGAGTCCAATACAGAAGCAAGACGACGGAACTCAACTATTTGATCTTGCCTTTCGGCTTCTTGCTCTCGTCGTCTACGACCACACTACAGGGGAAAAACCGGTTCCCACGTGCTCGGAGAATTAGTTTTATTTTTGTGGTTATTGTTGACGACACTTTGTGGAATTTATTTCCAGTCCGTTCCTAAGTCACTACTCGAGTTTTATTTTTGTCTTTTGGGTTGAAATCTGTGCTGAACGTTTATTTTGAAGGAACCGTTTGCTGTATTTCAGGAAGCCCAAGATGGCCGACCGGAAGGTTCGAAGTGCTACCTTTAAGATGCCGTTTATTATGACCCCGAAGGAGGTAAAAGAAGCTATTGATGGGGCGATTGAATCAAATGGGACTGTGTTCCAAGATCTGTGGTATGGAGAATACTTCATCGAGGTTTTAAATCAACGAGATGCAGAGGCGCTGGTAGAAGAAGGATTGGAGGACGATGACCCCCACGTTTCGTGTCATTTACCGCACGGCAAGTTGACTAACGTCGAGGATGATGAAATCAAAAAAGTCCTCAACCAGTATGTAAAGCTGACCATTGCTTTCGTTGGATTGGAGAATGGTAATCGTTTAATAAAGATGGTGTTAGAGAAGAGATCTATTCCATATTCACTACGAATCGGCGGCGAGTGTTGCCGAGTTATTCACAACGATCAACAACCTGTCTGCAGTGAATGCAAAGATCTTGGGCATACTCGAAAACGATGCGCTGAGATCATTTGCGAAATTGCAAAGGAAAAAGGCAAATGTCCTATAATTGCGATCGAAGGAACAACCGTGATGAGGTAAAACAACGGATGGCCGCAGATCAAAATGAAACTTCGACTAATTCCGAAAATACTACACCAGCGGAGAATATGCCTGT